TCAAATATGTTTAGAGACATTTATTTTGCCTATTTAACTTAAACTTAACTGCTATTTGTGAAATGCAATGAATAGGTACAATCAAACAGTACAGAAGAATGTATCAACCCACTCAACCATGGTGCAATGCGTCACGGAAGTGACAAAACGTAATTGTCGGCAATGTTTACATATGGGTGATATCAGCACTCGACTGGTAAACTGTATTGTAATTCGTTGTTACTTCATTACTTATTGTCAGTTTATTCTCATGCAGTAACTTTAATGGATTATAGTGGGTGCATAATGGATACACTTTTTTTACAACTGCAATACTATATATATTGTAATGGAATTTATTTGGGGCTCCACTACAAAAAGAACGTTACCCGGCCTAGTAATTTAGGGGCGATAAACGACGTCACTTTCTACCGCGATACCGTGTCGCACGGTGTTTTGGCGGACACACAGCACGCACTTTCTTCTCAGGGGGATCCTGGTACCGCCTCGGTTCAACCACTTCACGATGTTATCTGAATAAAACAATTCACACACGGATTGTGGATGAAAACAGAGTAGTTATATTCTCCATGAACCATCACATCAACGCCATGCTGCTCGAACAGAATTACAGAGTGTGTACATGTCAATCAAAAATAGTCATGTGATATTATATACTCAACCCGATAGGCTAATATCTGTAATAGGCGTACATCTAATACATATATGGAGTGGAATATTCCACCACTACCTGGCGACCCGAAAGGTCTACCTAGGTTAACAAATATCGTAGTTTAATAATGTAATAAAGCACAGGTTTCCATTACACTCCTCCTCCCTAGGCCAAACTACATCCTGTGTTTGAGTCGTAATCTCAACAGTAGTTACAACAAGTCTAGATTCACATAGGTTACCTACAATAAACATTGTCAATCCTACCTGTATATACCTGTAAATGAAATAGTTAACAATAAATCACAAACACATAACTCTAAATAGACTTGCATGCATGCAGGCTGCTGGTCTATATAACATCAATATTTTCACACACAAAGAGTTCATGCATCTAAAACAAAAGTAGTTTTCTACAGATCAGTGTTCACATAAAATGTCCAAATACATTCTCAAACTTGATGAACATCTTCATCATCCAGGTTTACACGTCTAATCCTTCCGAACCCATAATAATGTGTTGGTTTCCGATCTCGTCTTGGGTACTTAGACTGTCTGTCACTCTGGTTGTTCTTCTCACAACTATTATCTTCACAAGGCACAGTCATGGTCTCAGTTTTAGTGTTCGCTGACTCTTCTGAGTGTGTACATGTCAATCAAAAATAGTCATGTGATATTATATACTCAACCCGATAGGCTAATATCTGTAATAGGCGTACATCTAATACATATATGGAGTGGAATATTCCACCACTACCTGGCGACCCGAAAGGTCTACCTAGGTTAACAAATATCGTAGTTTAATAATGTAATAAAGCACAGATTTCCATTACACTCCTCCTCCCCAGACCAAACTACATCCTGTGTTTGAGTCGTCATCTCAACAGTAGTTACAACAAGTCTAGATTCACATAGGTTACCTACAATAAACATTGTCAATCCTACCTGTATATACCTGTAAAAGAAATAGTTAACAATAAATCACAAACACATAACTCTAAATAGATTTGCATGCATGCAGGCTGCTGGTCTATATAACATCAATATTTTCACACACAAAGAGTTCATGCATCTAAAACAAAAGTAGTTTTCTACAGATCAGTGTTCACATAAAATGTCCAAATACATTCTCAAACTTGATGAACATCTTCATCATCCAGGTTTACACGTCTAATCCTTCCGAACCCATAATAATGTGTTGGTTTCCGATCTCGTCTTGGGTACTTAGACTGTCTGTCACTCTGGTTGTTCTTCTCACAATTATTATCTTCACAAGGCACAGTCATGGTCTCAGTTTCAGTGTTCGCTGGCTCTTCTGGCCCTCCAGGTGGGTCTAAAGGTGGAGTTTCAGCTTCTTGCTCTGTGCTACCAGTCACATCCAGTTGGTGATCACAGGTAGCGTCTGTGTTCACATTGGGCTTCAATAAAGTTGTTGAACAATCTTCCACTGGTGCATTCGGCAACATGACAGGACTTAATGATTGGTCAGCAGAAATCTGGTCCGTCACCTTCGTAGTTTGGAGTTCTTCTGGGTGACCATCTTGTATTCTCTGTTCCACAGTCTAGCCAAGGGGTGATTGGTTTTCCTTGGTATCTTTTCAGTTTCTCATAATGAACTACTTTAACTTGCTGCGGAGACTATGCTGGATGCGGTAAACCACATCAGATATTCTACTGACACCATATATGGATCTTCAAAGTTCATTTGTAGTTTGGGGCTGAGACCTTTCCTCCTCCGTTCTTCCTTTAGCCACACAAACTCTCCGACTAGATACCCTTTCTTATCGAGGTAACGGTCATAATGTCTCTTTTGATGATGAGCACTTGCACCTAATCGTTCTCTTGCCAATGCATGTGCACTCTGCATTTTGGCCTTTAGATCCAAAATATAGTCAGATTTACCACTGTCACACTCATCGTTGTTGACTTCAAACATTAAATCTACCGGTAATGTTACTTCTCGTCCCAACATCAAAAAAAGTTTGGGCTTTCCCCTGTAGATGCATGTACGGATGAGCGATAGGCCATGGACACATATGGCAAGTACTGATCCCAATCACGCTGGTGGGCCAATGGGTCTAGATAAGACTTAATTACTCCCACTACGACCTTCATATGCCTTTCTACCATTCCATCACTTTGAGGGTGTCGTGGAGTGGTGTAGGTTTTGGAAATTCCCAACAATGAACACACTTCCCGAAAGGTAGATGAGATAAAATCTCGTTCTCTGTCTGAATGAATTTCACCTGGCACACCAAAACGACTGATGACAACACTAACCAAAGCTTTGGCAACTGTTGCTTTTTCATCTTTCAAGGGTATACATTCTAGCCACTTTGTAAAATAGTCAGCAAAGACCAAGACCTTTTTGTTTCCCTCAGAACTTTCAGTAAAAGGCCCCAATATGTCAATTGTTTGTAGTGGTGCCTTTCTTGGTTTTCGTGCAGATTGACGTTGAGCACAAACATTGCAAGACCTCACATATGCCCCGCACATCTGAAGCCATGCCATACCAGAAATATCTCATTTTCAGTCTAGAAAGGGAATTTTTCCATTCCTAAGTGACCTCCAGATTTAGCAGTATGTAATTCTTGCAGTACACGTTCTCGACAATCAAATGGAAGGAACATTTGCCACCTCACCCTGAGACCATCAGGTGTTTCAAACAGGCGATACAAAACTCCATTATTTACTCTTTGTCAGGTCATGTAATGGGCGAGACAACTCTGCAAAGCCTACAACAAACGCCGATATA